GAGTCATTTACAGACTACAGCAGGCTGTTGGATGACGTTATATTCCTGAACGTACTGCTGTTGACTAATGCAGACATGGTGAGAGCGAACAGAGAAAAGTCAAAGCAATTGTTTGATGAGATCACATGTGTTACCAACCGGGTCTGTACGGATCACGGATCAACTGTTTTTCGTTGCACTAATAGTAAGAAGATACGCGTAGTGGCTAGTGTTCTGGTGTGTTTGTGCAGCAATGTATGTTGGTGTGTCTTAGTGTGCCCACACAAAGCTCCGTCATGCAGACAACGGAGGAGCAGGTAAAAGTAGCTGCAGTTACATCAAACGTGCTCAATGTATACATGACTGTTGGCCCGCCAGTCCTGTAAAGAAAATACTCGCCAAACAGGAAATCTAACCACATTGGGCTCAGGTTGTTTATTTTGGACCCTGTATACACCAGAGAAAATAAAGTTGAAAATTGTTTTGTTTTTGTCTCATAGTTCAAAATGTAGTCTTTTAAAGCAGAGCGGTGAAGGTAAAGCTTTTAGAAAAAGTTACGGCTGACGTCATTGGATCAAATTTAGAAATCCTGACTTGCTGGTGCACTCACTGCTTTCCTCTATAAATAACAAAAAGCTCTGCAAACAGCAAAAAGCATCTTAGCAGTAAGGATAAAACTGCTACATTTGAGGGGATCCACTGGTTTTCATACAGTATTAGTGTTTAAATGTTCCTTTATAGTCCTGTCAAAATGCCTGGTATGTAATCAGTTTCCATATTAATTCACTGATGTGTGGTCATTAGATGGTCCTTAAACACTTTAGAAAATCTGGCAATGATTTCTTACCTTCCTTCAGAGATTTGTCCACATTGTGTGACACCACCACCCTCCTGTTCTGACTTGATTCAGGAAGTGGCACCAAAAAACGAGCCTGAAAGACAACAACAGTCTCAGTTCACTGACATTCAATACACATTCACATTACAACAGCATAAAATCAGGAAATATTGGGCAACCACAGGGAAAAAAGGAAGAGAAGGTTTGTAAGCTGTTGTGAGTCATGGGGCAAACAATTCTGATGAACAAAGCTGCCCGGATTCATCTGAACTCATTTAACATGAAACCAGATGAAATACCTCCACTATCAGTCACCAGAACTAGACAGTAGTAAAGAAATAAACACAGCTCAAAGGCAGCTACTGCCAAGCACAAAGTTGTAAGATGTAAGGACAACATAATCAACTCATATGTAGGAAGTGAAACCCTTGAGGCTGAAAAATGCAATTGAAGATGTTGTCAAAAGTCACAATAATATTGCACAAAAAAATCCATGTTTAGATATTCTGAGCATTTGTATATTGTGATAATGTACCATTCTTTAACTGCAAGTTGTGTGCCTAAAAATAAAATCCTGTTAATATCTGCTCAATCTTTTAGGATCAAGTTATCTGTCTACTATTCTCGCTTCAAAAAATGTCTTCCAGCCAAACAGGATTTACCAAGAGGCAGGCTCACCAACACTGACGTACATGCTGCACTCACCTGACAAACTGAACACGTAATGTAGTCTACATACTCCAACTATGAAAGGTAATTTCAATCATGAGACTTGAAGAATTATTTTTTTCTAACTGAATTTGCAATATCACCATAACAATTACTATTGCTGTACAAGCAAATAGGCAATACTGTGTTATTGTGTTACTGTGTCATGCTTTTGTTCCACAACCCAACATATTTGTTTGCACTCATGTCTGTGTGTGTTTAAGTTTGTCTAAATCCAGGAGTATTGCTCTAGGTCATCTATAATAGAACAAAGTGAGACGATGAGAGAGGAGAGAAATAGAGAGAACAGGAGTCTACTGAGGGATGAGAGTGAAGCAGCTAAAGGGTGCCAAAGACAATAGTTAAACTGTTAATAAAAATGTACACATCTGATTAGGGCTGGGAAATTAATCGAAAATTGATGGAAACCATCACTCAGAACCTCTGAGCAACGTAATTTTGCCCATGTCAGTTATTTAGATTATTTTCAGAGTCATGTGACGACACGTCCAATCTGATTCATGGAAGCAATTTGGGTCGTTTGGACACATTTTGTATTTAGGGAAGACGACACCGAACAAAAAGAAGTCAAATGTAAATACTGCGGAAAAACTGTATGCAAGAAATACAAGTTATTTATTTTCTACTTTTCTATAAGTTAATTTGTACTTTAAAACTAAACTGTGTCGTTGTCATTTCAAGCGATGCTTTGATTTCAGTTCGAAACATTAAATAAATAATCACACAACAGTTCACCAGATATGCACTCTTTCATTAGAATAAATATTCCAGCTTTACTAGTTGAGCATATTTACAGTAGAGACCATGTCAGTGAATGCTGGGGGAAAAAACTAAAACTAAAAAATCCTTCATTAATCCTAATAGAGGCAAAATGTTCAATTAATCGTGATATTGATTTGAGGTCATATCGCTCAGCACTACATCTGATGTTTCTTTTCCTTTTTTTAATTGAGATTTGTTTGCTACATGTAACCTGCTGTTAGAGTACAGCTTGAGTGTTACACTGTGTGTGGTCATAATCAGTGACATGAAGGAGTTGGTTTTCATTTAAAATGTATTACTATAAGAATATCATATTGGGACTGGTGGGGACTCTGTGTACTTACCATAAGCTTGTTGAAGAAGTCCAGTCGTACAGCTGACTGCCTCCGGTTTCTCTGAAAGCAGCTGACTTTGAGAGGACTCTTCCTCACCAGCAGAACAAAGCTTCCGGCCAGGAAACACAGGAGGGCAAATGATACATAGATGAACAACTTCAAGAAGAAAGAGGTGAGAGTCAGGCCTCCCCAGGCCAGCTGAAACACTACTGCTGCCACCACGCCCAGACAGAAAGCCGGGATAAACCGGAAAGAGGAGCCGAGAGTAGAGGTGGAGGCGGCAGACATGGGCTCCTCTTCCCCTCCAGTACTGCTACTCCCTCCAGCCAGTGGTGTAATGGTAGTTGAGGGGGTGGGCATACTGCGACCCCACCATCCATAAATGTGTCACCACAAGTTAGGCTCAAAAGTTGGTCCGCTCGTCGGTTTTCCAAGTCAGAGAGGTACGTACACTGTGTACACTCGGGTATACCATCGACTACAACACAGTCTCTAAGACGAGGCATCCCCGCTCTGACATCTCATCACCGACCCGCACCACTATGTTTCCCTCGCTCCTAGCATCGGCCCGCCCGGCAGCCACAGGCACGGAGCCCCGTCAGCTTAGGCATCCAAACCCCGGGTCTCCCGACAGCACGACAGGATACCCAACTCGTTTTGAAACAGGCGGCTGGAGAAGATAGTCCTCCAGAGGGCAGACAGAGGGGCACTTGGGCTGAGGGGATGGATGTAGCAACATCCACTGTCACCTTGGAGACAAATAGGTGGAAGGGTAGCTTAGTGACTGTTGCTAACCAACAAGGCTAGTACAAGCTGAACAAGGAAGCCGATATAAGTAACTGTAACCTACTTTCAAAACTGAAAACACACCACATTAAAGTAAGCTGTCACATATATTGGAACTACAATGCGGTCTTGCAACTAAGTTATGGAATCAGTGATAGCGACAGCTGGCTAACTAGCTTGCTTGCTTGCTAAATATCCAATTTAACAACAGCTAATGTTAGCGTACTTACCTATCGATAAAGGAGGTTTACGATGACAACACTATATTATCGCTTTCCTTTCTGTCTGAGGATGTATTGGATGCTTTGCGTTCATGGGGTTAATAGTAGAAAAACGCTGTGACAGAAAATGTCTGGTCAACAATCGCCGACTGATAAAAACAAGCTGTTATTTTCCTCGAGCTCCTGCTGACTGACAATCTGTGTGAACGTGAAGGCTGTCCGCCAATCAGCGCCTGAGTTAACCACGGAGGGTTTGTGTGTTTTAAACAACAGGCCAGTCCGAGTGAACGGGGCGTCAATTTTAAACCCCTTCGTGGATGCACTGTGAGAAGCACCGCCCACCTTAACTGCTACGAGTTTAAATCAAGCATACAACCAAACAAGGATCATGCCTTCTTTGAAGATTGTTTTTTTTTTTTTTTTTTTTTTTTAAATCTCAGATTGCTGCCGTACAAAACGAGACTTTGAAGTTTAAATTTTGGATGCACAGAATCTTTTGTTGGCCTACATTAATTTGTTATTGCTCAACTGTCAATTACAATGTTACAATTCACTTAGCAGAGGCTTTTATCCAAAGCGATGTACATCAGAGAGTAAATACAACATTAATTCATTCATACACCGCCACCGAAGCAGCGGGAGCAATTCAGGGTTAAGTGTCTTGCCCAAGAACACATTGGACATGTTGCCCATCTGGGGATTGGACCCTCGACCTTTCGTTTGAAAGGCGATGACTCTACCAACTGAGCCACAGCCACCAATTATTGCGTGAAAAGGTTGTATTATTTTAATGACGTGTATTATTTGCCACAATAACAAACATAGCCTATTTGTATTAAAACACTGAAGCATATCAGGACAAAAAAAGATTAAAAAAAAACTACTTCTACGTCTCGTTTAAGCATTATCATTGGCAGGTGGTGGTTAATATGCTATTTTAAATTGACTTGTATGTGGTTTGAGATACTGTATTTGCTATGAGGACAATCATCCATACACATGATGTGGACTCTTTGCTATTAGAAAGAAAGTTATCATGAATTATTTGGTGAGACTCTCTGAGCATATATGAGCCTATCAGTTAGGATGACATCATCACTCTTACATATATTGTGGAGAAGATTGGTCTACAGTATAGTTAGCCCTGACTTTGAAAAACAACAGTTCAGAGTTAATGGTGCACATGCAAAACAAGAATTAATTTGATAGACATTAAGACGTTTTTTTTTAAAATCATTTTATTCTATGAATCATGATTATATTGCAAATGGGTGCGATATAGAAGTTAGTGTATGTTCTGAATCTATTAATGATAACCTGTAAGTAAGTGTGATATGAAGTATGAAGAACTGTTTGTGATATACAGTGTAGGCAATTTCTGCTGTTCTTTATGAAATTAGGTCAAACTCCCAGTATAACTGCATCAAATGCTTCTTTTATCACACCCAGTTGTTTGAAGAAAACTTTCAGTTTTTGTTACAGCCATTTTCAGCTGTCTTACTAATGCTTCTGTCTGTGCCTGGCACACCCACTGACATCAGATTTCCTTTTCTCCACCAAAATAGACATCTGTGCATGCAGGCTGCTTCCTCTTGCACTCATTTTCTAAAACAGACAGTCAGTTAAACTAGACCTCTTTGAAACTATGCTAAATAACCTACTTGTCTTTAAAGTTTTAACTTAAGTGTGCCGCTCTATTAGTATTTGGTGTGCAAATGTGCTTGTATATGAGACAAATATAACTCCAGTTCTGTGTATCAGTGTGTTTTTAAACTTCAAATCTGATTTCACACCGATTGACAATTATCAAGCTAAGAGGACTAAATCTTAGGCAAATGTCCATTCTAGGAAAGTTATCTGTGATGAACAGCATTGGGGTCATCAAGGGGATCCATTTCGAAGTTTGTTGGACGTAGTTTCATGATGGTGGTCTTCAGCGAGTACCACCATCCTCTCCAAGGGTACCAAACCACACCATCATCTGTCTTTCCACTGTAGTAGCCATTCTGGTAGTAATTACCATTGAGATGAGCAGAGTGGCACCTGGAGAGAGAGAGAGGGAGAGAAAGAAGAGAAGGGAGTTTTCTAGACTGTAAAGAATGACAACCATAACATTTCAGAGACTAGTCTGAACTTTAATTTACTTTAGTCTGTGAAATGACCCTGCCTTTATTTTGGGTCAGGCATAAGTATGAAATGGGCCTTTATTTATATTTAGCCAAGATAGGAAAGAGTATAAAATAAGAAAGACTATTTAACTGTGTACAAAATTAGGTTATCAATGACATGTTTAATTACAATCACTAATTAAATCCTGCTTTGTAAGACAACCCATCTCTGCCAATCTTCTGCACTGTGGTGGAGAGATGGAGAGCCCCCTTTTAATTTCATCACTAGCAAGCGCTGTGCTGGCCTTTGGAGCTTTTTAATGATTCAGAGTGTCTTAAGATTGGCCTATATTTTATAGTATTTCAAATGCTGTATGAGTGATGGCAAAAATAAACTTTTGTTTCCATAATTTCAACATGTATTTCCATCTCTAAAGCCAGCTCAAGCAGCAGAGTCCCTCCTGTCACTCACTGAGGTTTATTTATTTATTTTATTCTTTTCCATAATCATCATGCATTAGACTCTGAGGCAGTGATTGCATTGTGGATTCACAGGCACAGGTATGCATGTTAGCATCATTCTGACTTTCTTGGAGAGATGTCTGCTTTGTCTCCTTATATTTTTGATCCGCATGCACAGGCGCCTCTAATTGTGACCTACCGTTGTTTGTCAAAATGTACAGCAACACCAGGCTTACAATTGGACTGGGCCTTATGACCTTTTATTTGAAGTTTAGCATTTTGCTGTGTATGTTTGCATCAACAGTAAGTCACTTTTTTAATCACAAAACCCATACTTATTGAACCACCAGCCTCCTTTGTCCTCCTGGGCACAGTTTCCTTTGTAGTTATCGTTGTCCTGGTCAAAAGTGCTGAATTTAATTCCCTGGTGACTGGCCCACTCTGACACACCAACCTGAAAGCTTCCAGACAGAGCATCCCCTGCTGTACCTACATAAGTCCCAAAGTAAAGGCGGTAATGATCCTGTAAAGGGAGACGAGCATAGTTGGTCAACTTGTATCAATGTAAAGTTGAAACGATAGGTTTGAAGCTTTTTAGGATTCCTTACAAAGGTTAATGGACTTGTTAGATGAGAAAATCATTACCAAATTCATGTCTGCATACTAAATTGTTCACTGCACCTCAACATGCTCTGCAGTTTTTGTTTGTGTTTAGCAGCTCTTGTTCCAAGTCTATCATATATGAGACCCAAGGTCACTTTCCTCAGTAATTATACATTTTAGTTGTCAGGCAGTGTCAACACCTTTTCATTGGCCACTTTGAAGTCCTTGTACTCCGCATAGCGCTGGTTACCGTCAAAGTCTTCCATGTTAATCTTCAGAGTATAATTCCCTGTAACAGATAAACAATCAGGTGGTGGAAGTTCAGGGGGAGTTAAGTATATAACCAAACATGTAAGCAAATAGTTAATACAACAGACACCGACTCACATTCATCATTTAGATGAACGTCAGGCCAATGTTTTACTCTTCACCTCATCTCAAAGAAAGTCTATTTGTCACTCTTTCAGACCCCATTCTGCTCCTCTGCTTGCTAAAACCAGCACAACATAAAATTCAAATTTGATTTAAAAAAAAATGGCCCTGGCTGTGATCCTTGTGTATTTCCTGTGTTTCCCTGTTACTCTCATGTCCCCCCCCCTCCCCCTTCACCCTTTATCCTTGTGTTTTCCTATACATTTTTCAATATGTTTAGATTACTCTCCACCTGCAAACAATGAAACAACAAGTCAACCTAAGAAACTAATTCGGTGTCAAAATTCTTCAGACTACTTCTCTCAGCTACAACCAGCCAATCAGCCTTCTGCCAGCCCTCTGCCCTAAAATAAATTTCCTTCAGAACTTCCAATTGCATCCGCTTCTGGGTTCCCTTCTAACAACAAGCTTTAGCATTGTATTGTACTTTTGTTGGTTAAAGTCAACTTCTTTTAATACAACTATGTTGTTGTCATTTAGAAGCCTCACTTACCTTGTGTTGTGATGAAATGCAAGTTGTCATTTCCGAGCCAAAACTCTCCCAGTTCTGTATCCATGTCTCCAAAACCTTCTTTATACTCTGCCCATGACCTGACAGATAGATAGAGATATATATATATATATATATATATATATATATATATATAGATAGATAGATAGATAGATACATATATATATAGATAGATAGATAGATACATACATACATACATACATACATAGAAAGAAGTGATACCTTTTGATATATTTTCATCCTTTTCCCCACAGTTATCAGAAGTCACATACAGTCACACACCTGTTAAAGCACTCTGCTCCATTGATTCGTCTCTGAATAACGATCCATCCACCTCCATCACTCATATCACAGTGCACTCTGACGGGAGACGTGCTCCCATGAGGTTTGATTCTGTAAATGCCGCTGGACTTGGAACCAGAACTGAAGAGCTGGGAACAGTCTGACACAAATGCACACTCATATTTGGTAAACAGTCTTTTCTGGATGCTGATGGCACACTGACATGTCATGTTAGCCCAAACCATGATACCATCTTTACCCAATAGATGGTTTTGGTGCTTAAATAATAAAATACAGTGATAGATTAAGTTCACTTCTGGTTGAAAACAACAGATACTTAGTTGATTTAAGAAAAGCTCATGGTCAAGGTCATGTAAAGCTTTGTATCACCTAGTGGTTTGTACCTGTCATGTTTTCCTGTCCTCCTGCTACTGTCATTCCCCACCTCTCCACCAGATGCCCTCAGACCTGTATTTCTTTACTCATTTACATACCTGCTCTTTTCTGATATTAGTCCTCATCAGTCCTGAAGTTACCTGAGCTTCACTGCCCAGCTGCTCACTTGCCTACACATCTCTCATGAGATTTATTCCAAATGTGGAACATGCTCTGTCCTCCATTGCCGGGTTGTCTTCCTCGCCATTATCTCTGTGTTTTGCTTTTGGAGGTTTTTGGAACCTGGAACTTTCTGTTTGCTTATCTGTCTGTAGCCTCTTACCAGCTGCCTGTATGCCTACCAGGGGTGTGTCCAAATGGGTGGCCAAGGGTGGCATGCCCCCCCCCCCTTAAATCCTTGTGTGCTAATATTAGTTTTCAAAAATAACCAACCCTGCCTTTAAGGTGTGATTTTGGTCCTCAAAGAATTAAGCTATGAAGGTTTATATGTTACCCTTCTCTTTTGTTACTTAAAAGTCGGTATGAGTAGTGAAGATAGAAAGAGTATTGATTGCCCCTTCTTACCAGTGCACACAAACTTCATGCCTTCCCTGACGTCAGTAGCCTAGCCATTGGGCCACCGCAGCCAATGAAGTCTGGACACAGGCCCATGATGCCTTTCTGCCAATACCTGTCTTTGAGCTGTCTAATAAATCTGCACCAGTCTGCCTCTTGTCATCTGGCACCTGTGTGCTGCCTACCCCAAACCCCCAACCCACAAACCCTGACCAGCTCCCTCAGTAGACTTCATTGCTTTTCAAACCACATTAAACTATAAAAGTGTTTAAAATTAATAAACCCATTTAAATTAAGATAGCCGTCTAGCACGTATCATTGGAAACATTATCTGGTTCCTACAATGTAACACTTAAAACAGGATATTTTATGATGTAGTTTTGTTCTGCAGTCCTGAGGCAGTGGTCCTGACCTGTGTGCTGCGTGTCCTGGCTCTGGTCAGATATGGCTCTGTCTTTGGTGTCAGGTTGGTTCAGCAGTTGTAATCTCTGTAGGAGGAGCTCTTGTGTCTGAAGCTGGCCTCTCAGATTCTTTTCCTGTTCTCGCAGTCGAGCCACCTCACCACTGCAAATGTCTGATGCCTATACAGACATTTGGATCACTACGTATTTGAGTTTTTTTTTTTACATTCATTCCATAAATCTAAGATAACATGAGCACAGAGTTTAAAAACTGCATTAATGATTGTATAGTCTGTTGAAAAACTGAAAGAACTGATAGGCTGTCTCACAAAGTATAACCTTTAACCTTTGCATGCCTAACTGTCAGCCTTAAAACATTACGGTAGCCTTAACAAACCCATAGTCTAAACCCAAGACCTGATCCTGGAACTGTACAACCAGCAGCTTGTTAGCCTATCATGCAGACTTTGATAGGGGGGAGCTGCTTACCCGACTCTGTCCGAAGTTGACAAAATCAGCTCTCCAACATCTCTTTCACTAAAGTGTAAATTATACAGTCCCAGTTTTATGGGAATTATGCAACTCGTTAATTCTGGCTTGAAGCTGCAACTCCTGTGTTATAACAACACATTTAAATAACATAAAACATGTAATTGAATATAGCAAAGTAGTCACTACATGTCATGTCAGTTTGTGAGATTTAGGCGTGCTGCACAAAGCCAGGCCAGTTGTTTCAGTCTTTATGATGCTAAGATACGTTAACTGTCAGGGGGCTGTAGGTTCATTTTCAGTGTAAATATATGAGTTCCAATAATCTTGTTGCAAGAAAGTATAAAGGCGTGTTAGAGCCACATTATGGGTAAAAAAATCAGAGATTTCGAGATTAAAGTCATAAATTTACAAAAATAAACTCATCTTTGCATCTCGTAAAGATATACATCAGTAAAGGTTTCAATAATAAGGAAATACTGCACATCAGCATCGCATTGTCATAAGTATCAGGACCCTGAAAGGATACTGCGAGAAACAGGGGCTTTTCTGGAGAAAGAACCACACTGACTTCTCTCTTCTCACAACCTCTTAGAATTAGAATTTTAACCATAGTCTAATTTTAATCAAGTATGAATTAAATACCGTAAATGAACAACTTTATTTTAGGAAATATACAGCTTTAATCTTAACATTTCAGAACATTTTCTTTCTATAACTCACCCTAATACTCCAACATAAGAGAGAAAAAACCATATGTAAGCCCACAGAAAAAATGTAACTATTCCTTTGAATTAACAACAACCAGCCAACATGTCCTCTTTTAAAAGTTTTTCATGACTTGCAAATGAGTTTTCACAGTTTAAAAGAACAAGAACACCCTGAAAAAAATAATAATAATACCGGCAATTGTCATTAAAAAAAAACAAATCTGTTAGACCACAGTGAATATTTAAATAGAAACTTCAGTTTTGGACTTCAGATAGTGTGAAAAGTAACAAATTCAGTGTATCACAGTAACTGAAAGCAGTCCAATGAAACTGAGAGACGTTTGGACTCATAATTCTGAGAACAAGAACCACCTCGTAAAATGAGTGTGACAATTTTAAAAAGTGTATATTTTTAAAGCATCCATAGTTTTTTTTGTCCGCAGAGTACTTACACAGAGAGCTTGAATGCAAGCTGTGATGATGATCAATCCTTTGAGCTGCAGCTGCTGGCCTACCATCGTGCTCGTCTTTAAAAACTAAACCAAAGTAAAAGATCAGACCTTAAGAAAGGAGATGTCTACTTCTCAGAGTTTAGTTGAATCTTGTTTATTTTCCCAGCAAGCACTTTCCTCACACCTGGATCCACACAAAGCTGTGCCACAAAAACAAAATGAAAAACTGATGGAATACCTGATTCTCTACAGTCATAAATATTCAAAATATGCAGGGAGTGTCAAGAACATGTGCACATTTGCCAAAAGCAGACACACTTTCCAAAAACTCTTTCATCCTCGAAAATAGAGAATGAAAAAAATATAGAAAACAGAAGTTTGCATGAAAAAAGATACAAGATAATCCTCCTATTATTTTTAAATGATTATAAATGAAGCCTGAAGGCCAAAGTCAAGTGTTGTTCCACTTTCACAAATCTTCCTTTTCCTTTTCTTCATTACTATCCTATTAACAGCTCTTTACGTTTATCCATTCACTTACCCGGCTAGTGAGTCAAATATGGACAATGCAGTCTGAGAGCAAAAGGAGACAGTTACAGTATAGTTGGAAATTAGCTTTTAGCATAAATATATGATATGTTAATGCAACACCTGATTTCATGACATGATTTTTACAGATTTTGGTAGTCTCAACTTTAGACAAAGCCAAGCTAGCTGTTTTTCTCATTTTTCTGTCTTTTGGCAAGGCTAAGCTAACTAGCTTTGCTGTAACCACATATATGAGAAAAAAATGGTCTTAAGTTCTGTAAGAACCTATAAAACTATGTGCTCTTTAATGTAAAAAAGTGAATGTTTTGTGTTAAAGGTTGCATATTCCAATTGTTTACGGTGAGAAGGCAGACTCAGAGGGCAGAACAAACACCTAGCTGTGGGAGTGTCACCCACCTGGGGGAGGGGTTACTGCCCCTTGTGATGTCATGAAGGGAAAATCTCCAAACGGCCTGTTTCATCACACATTTTCTGAAAAGCGGAGCAGGCAAAAGATGGAGATGATGGACTTTTCTCATCACTGGGGGGTTTGTAGACAGACTATAGGGGCACATATTACATGGTAAAGGGTATTTGCATAATGATATGCGCTGGTATTGCTATGTCAAGTTTGTATGTCTGTCCATCGTCTTGTGTCAATAATGATTTCCTCTGGGGAGATTCAAGCAGAACTGATGTCCCATGTGTGCTAATTCCTCCGTAGTTATTTTCGACTAGTTTTGGGTTTGCATGAATCGCTGTGAAAAGTCTCTGCTTACATAATGAGAATAAATATATTCTACACTATGTCTAACCACAGTTGTCCTTAAATAAACAACCCTCAAGTTTAATGTTAAATCTATGGTATGGGATTAATATACTATCTTTATTCAAGAGCATGTTATTTTTCTGAAGAACAGGTTTTTAAGTTTTGAAAGCAGTACTTATTGATTTTACATTCAGATGTTTTCATTCTTTCTCTCAAAAACCTCTCTTTGTACTCAAATAGTTGCTGCTTTCTCTGTTTGTGCTCGAAATGTTTGCTTGCTCTCAGATTCTCATGCTCAAACTTCTCCTCTCACTTCAGACCGCAGCTGCTCGCAGCTCAAACTTCTGCTCTCCTACTTTGTTTCTCTGCCCGCTCGGGTCTTTGTCTGCTCTTGGATTTCTTCTGCGCTCTCGGATTGTCTGACGAATCAACCAATAGAAAACGGGTACAGGATCGGCCAATCACGTCCACGCCGCCCTATTGCTGAGGAGTTCGCTGTACTGATGAGAGCGTCCCGTATGGGCGGCTACTCTTTAACCGCAAATACTCCGTAGCTCCCGCGGCTTCTGACGTAGCCTATCGCCTATGGAAGAATTATGGACCACCAACTTCAAAGACATGAAGTAAGTTTTTATTTGAATGATAATGGTGCTAATTGTTTCTAAAAAATGTAATTGATAAAGTAATATTTGAAAGAAGAACGCTATGGCAAGCCCTTTTAACATTTAAGTATTAGCGGTAATAGCAATTGTAGATATCAATAATTGCTTTTGGACATGTTAGAATTCCAAGCTGACATATCCACAATGTAATTTTCACTAGTAACAATTCTAATTAAAGATATCTACAATTCATTTTTCACTAGTGGAAATGGTCATTGTAGATATCTGTAACTTAATTACAACTAGTCAACTTGTGCCATTGACTTCTATTCAAATTGAATTACAGATATCTGTAATTCAATTTGTACATGTTGTAATTCAAAGTCGACATATCCATAATGACATTTTGACATGTCACAATTCTAATTCATGATATCTAAAACTCAATTCTCACTAGTAAAAATGTTAATTCTTGATATCAACAATTCTATTCTTACTAGTGACAAAGTTCATTTATGATATCTACAATTGTTCTAACATTACAGATATCATAAATTAATTCTAGATATCTAAAATGCAATTCTTACTAGTCGAACTTACATTATTGATGTCTTGATCTGGAATTATTACATGTAAGAATGTAATTATATATATCTTGGATTAACATTTGAAATGTAATTTCCACTACAGTGAAAACTAAATTGCTACTTGTCAGCCAGACTGTTTTAATGTTAACAGGGCTTACCACATGAACACTGAACACTGTGGCAGCTTGTGAAAACGGACTTCACCGTGTTTTTTAGGCTTCTTTAGTTTTAATTAAAAATTAGGCTAGAGCTCTTATAGGCTATTATGATAGTAGAAAATAAAATTAACTACACAATTTGAATGTTAGTACACTGTCCTCTTTTCAGTTGCGCCAACAGGACTTAGGATACTCCTGTCAGCTTCAACAGCTTCAACAGTTTATACGGGTCATAAAGCAACTTCACAGCTGTTTGCGTAGCCTAATGTCAGACAGAAAACTTTATTGTGAGCACATTTACAATGTTTTAAAAGGCAATAACGTAAATTTTGTTCGAAAAAACTATGTTGTTAATTTAGCAAATGAAAAAAATCAATCTTGTTTCAATGCATTTCGACTTTCTGACTTTTCAATGATGAAGTTCATTAGAATATTTCTCAGCAGCTGTAAAGGACACTCAGTGTTATCAGCTTAAAGTCACTCTTATGGAAGTAGAACTTATAGGCTCATTTTTAGACTAAATGGAAAAATATTGTTTTTCAGCAGATGTCTTAGTTATGACTTTATTAATCTAGCTAAGCATTTGTGTTTTTTATTCAGTAGCCCAGTGCAGGCTCTGGGTATCCAGTGCGCACATCCAGTGCGCACATCCAGTGCGCACATCCAGTGCGCACATCCAGTGCGCACATCCAGTGCGCACATCCAGTGCGCACATCCAGTGCGCACATCCAGTGCGCACATCCAGTGCGCACATCCAGTGCGCACATCCAGTGCGCACATCCAGTGCGCACATCCAGTGCGCACATCCAGCGCTTTTCTACTCGGACAAAATACTTGGTGGACACAGAGGCTTCGTAGTTCAGCCCTGTTGGTGCAATAGGTCCGATATGGCCTACTGTAGGCTATCTTTACTGTGTCATAGTCTGTACTTTATTATATCCTAATGGTTTCACAACTATTTTCATTGATAGATACTTAGGCCTATTGCCTATACGTGAATAGCCTATGCCATAAAAATGATTTCCCTTTATGATTTAATGTTGACATTTGAAGTGTAGGTCTATCTATCTTTTGCCTTCTTTCTTTCAGAACCTGCTAAAACGTCAAATCTTGGAGAGATTGCGAAGCAAGATGCAACATGTGGTTAGCTGTCCTGGCTTGGATCTTGATTATCTTCATTTCATGTGCACCCATGAATTATTACTCCTCGATTCATTGGCAGAGCAGATGGAGTTGCCATTAGATATAGTCAATGTCATTAGAGAACTCACAAACCAGGTCAGAAGTCAGGTAGACAGTGAGCAACATTTTATTTCTCTCAATATACAGACAGTGCAAGGGGCAAGGGGACGACCAAAATGAATAATTGAGCAAGAAAAGTTACAGGCCTTGATAGATACTCAGTTGTCTATACCAACAATTTCAAAACTGTTGGGAGTCAGTCAAGCTACATTATTCCGGCGAATGGCAGAATTTGGGATTTCTGTGACAGAGTCCTACAGCACAGTGTCAGACCAGGAGCCTGACACCTTAGTGTCTAACATTAAAGCTGAAATGCCAAATATTGGCTACAGATTGGTAATGGGAAGACTGAGATCCTTAGGCCACAGGGTACAGTGGAACAGAATGAAAGCAGCTGTGCATAGAGTAGATGCAGCTGGGATTCTTGCTCGCTTGACACAGTTAGGCTGTGTTGTGAGAAGAAGCTACTCTGTAAGAGCCCCCCTATCTCTTGTGCATGTGGACACTAACCACAAACTCATAAGGTAAGTTGCTTTCACATGAAGTTGTCAAATGAATGAATCATCTGTAACAAACGCATACAATATACTAAATTTGACTTTCTCCTATATAGATACAGCAAAGTCATTTTTGGGGGCATAGATGGCTTTTCCAGAAAGGTATTGATTCAAATAATATACAGTATTTTGTGACGCACGGGTTTATGGATAATTTTTCTATGGTTGCATGTAAAACTATTAAATGAAGCCGTTTCAACAAATGATGCTTAGACTTAAGTCATAGTATTATTAACGTGGTACTTTTATGATCTTTGTCCAGGTCATGTACCTAGAAAGCCCCTCAAGGTATGTAAATGACATAGTGCAGTCTGATTTGCACACACACAAGTCAATTTGGATGTACTGAATAATAACTGAATATAGAATTTTGCATCTTTTAATACCTCTTCACATATTTCAGGATCAGAGGTGATCAGGGTGTGGAGAACAACGATATTGCCCGATTCATGTTTGCTGTGCGAGGAACTGACAGGGGAAGTTACATTTCTGGAAAAAGCGTCCACAACCAGAAGTAAATTACATCAAATGTTGAGCAAGAAAGCCTGAACCTTGACTCAGCATAATTTATCACTGTGTGCAGTTATCAAGACTACAGATATGATGCGCTTAATTAATTTAAC